GTCAACAATAAAGTACACTTTCGATTTTTGAACAGTGTATTGAGAACTTTTTAAATATAACCATTTCCCTTATATATATATATATATATATATATATATATATATATATATATTTAAAAATCAGGAGATTCAGGTCAACCACTTATTTTTCTAGAATTCTTTGCAATGATCTCTTTATTTTCTTCATTTATCTTCTTGACGGTTTTCTTTATCTAACCTCAAAGTTATGCTTTTCATATCTAAACACTTTTTAATGTCATTTTCTCATTCCCTTCGTATTCCATTGGTGAGATGTAAATTCCACTTGAACAGCTTCTTCCAACAAACTGTTGCTTTGTGGAACCAACTTCCAAGAGGATGCTTTCCTGATTACTATAATCTTGACCTGTTCAAGTCTCGGATGAGCTTGTGTGCAGTACAGTAGAATGGGGGTGTGGAAGTCTTGCCAAGTGCTACAAGGGATAGGAGGTCGTGGAGAACCATGACTGCCCACAAGAAGAATATTTCTGCTGTAACTAATGTGCTTTTGTAATGTTTTCTAAGTTTGCTTCAAACATTACATGCTTAAATACATTCAAATATTTTTTCCTAGGTATATCCTTCTGAAATAGTGGTACATCTAGTATGCCTTTGTATTTTTCTATATTGTTAAATATAGCAAATATAATTATTGAGAATATTTTCATTGTCCATGATAAAGAAAGAGTCTAGAGGGTTTATCTCATAAAATCTAGTCTTCTCAAAATTTGGCAATCCAATCTTTCTCTGATGATCAGGATAGACTCAGTATATATATATATATATATATATATATATATATATATATAAACTACATTATTTTATTTCTATTATTTATCATTTTCCCACTTCATTTTATTGATGAAGGTCATCCATCTTGGCTACTTTGGGAACCACTAAATTATATAAAGAATATGTATATTGTATATGTAACTAAAGCCTTTGTGTCTGTTTCTACATATATTATAACACACTATCAATAATACTAGAAATTATTGCAGTTATTAGAAGACAGAAAACTAAGCATGTTCTACAGCTAGATAAAGTGATCTTTACATATGAATCACATCAGCACAAGTTGATATTTGTTGATTTTAAAGTTGAAAGAACTCAGCTACTTTTTCACTCTGAATAATTATTTTCTATCAGGCTTTGCATCAAACTTTAACACTAAAAGTACTGAAAATACCAGATCATTTTTTATTAAATTTTACAAGTAGAGTTATTAAAACAATTTATAAGAATTCAAATATATTTTTGAATGAAATAAAAATATGTCGTTTGAGTGAGAAATGGCTGTAGGCTTAGTTTATGGAATTAAAAGGCAACATTGAAGATATTTCAATAAAACTGAACCATGATCCTTTTTCCTCTTTCTTTCTTGACTTTGTTCCTTTATATTCTAGCCTTTTATTTCTAGATGATCTGGCAAAATAAAAATAGCATCATAGTTATTTTAACCTGGCCAATATTGGCAAAGATAAAACCTTACTATTTTCAGAAAAATGTCAAATTAAAAACCAAACTTTACTTCATTTTTCAAAGGTGATTTAAAAATTGCATTCTCTATGTTTTTAAAATTTTACTGAAAGACAACCAATTTAAACATTTATTAAATGAATCTGAACACTTTTTTATGTGTGTCAACCATTTTCTTTTTAGAATTAATTTTTCATTTCATTCTTAAAATTATTCATCTTATTATTTTTTAAGAATTAATATATTGAATGTTTGCATACTTTGATTGGAATAGTGGTTATTATTAACTTTTTACCAAAATAGTACACTTAATGTATGAAATAGTCAAGTGCAACAACTATTATAGAATAGAAATATCATTTTTCAGAATTTAAATCCATGATTATTAACATTTTTAAGCTACTAAAATTTACCAATATTAATTATTTTTTCTTGTGACTGATCATAAATCAATATTTTTTTTTAATTAGTTATCTTTGTTACATCTATGTATATGTTTCACATGAATATATTATGCTATTAAAGTACTCAATTGATTAAATTATCTGTAATTTGATTATTAGGATCCAAGAAATCTTTCAGAAAAGCTATTTCATATTTGTTGAATCTTTTAATAAATAACAACAGCTGCAATTAGCAACTTTCAATCCTTCAATCCTAAATGGAAATTTGAGATAATTGTTGTTTTTGCATACAATCTTGAAAATAAAGTTGGAAATGCACAATAATGAAATGGGGAAAAAAATGTAAGTCAAAAGAATACATAGCAAAAAGAAAGGATAAGAGAGGGAGAAAAAGGTTGGTTGATCGGTGCAATTATGAAAACAAAGTTGAAAATGCACAATGATGAAATGGAAAATAAAAAAAAAACAAGTCAAAAGGAATACATAGCAAGAAGAAAGGATAACAGATAGAAAAAAAGACTGATTGGTGCAATCTTGAAAATAAACTTGAAAACACACAAAGAGCAATGAAAAAGTCAACATGGATAAAGATCACATAAAAGATTTCATAGAAGTGATTAAATGATAAAAATAGAAGTAGGTGGAATACATAGCAGAGGAAGGATGGAGCAAAAGGTTTGTTGATTTGTGCCAAATATGTAGCATAAAAAGATCAGTCAAAAGAGGAAAGATGAAATAGAGGAGTTTACAAGTAATATAAGAAATTAGCAGAGTTATGATTATCAATAGAAGGAATTGGGAAAGGCCTGAAAAACTGATTTAAGAGAAAGATTTTATAAATTTTAACTGAGAGTAATGCTAACAGGGAACAAACAAAAAAGGTCAACATCAAACAAGGAATAGTCAAAAAATTCCAACATGGATCAGAGAGCAAACAAAAAAGGTCCATACAGATCAAGGAACAGACCAATATAAGAGATACCATAGAAGTGATTAAAGGATGAAAATGGAGGTAGGTGGAATACAAAAAGAAAGGATAACAGATGGAGTAAAAGGTTGCTTGATTGGTACACAAAGGATAACAAGAGGAAAAGACCAAACAGAAGATGAAGAGATAGAATAGTTTATTGGTGAGACATGGAAGAGAACAGCACAGTTATAGATGTCATGGAAGGAATTAGGAAAGGCATTTGCTTATTAGTGGACCTGTAATGGCTGCTGCTGGTGAATGACAACAAATATGGGACAAGGCTATTTAATTTTGAAAACACCCAGCAAGAGGAAGAACAATATGGATAATTTGTGAAATCTTTCAGTCATGCACTAGTAAAGAAGCGTTTGCTCATCTCATCAAAGTGTGCAACACTTTTATTAATAGGCATCCACAAATGAAAAATGTTACTGCTGTAGTGCAACAAGAAACTAATTTTCACAAATCAATAACAGGCCAGAGACAAGAAAGAAGTAAACAATTACCAAAACAAGAAGAAATATGTTATATTTGTAAGAATGTTTAGCCAGGTATACATAAAGCAGTGTGCACTCCAAAGAGTCAATATATGTATGTACAAGAGATGCTATGTTGGGAATAACTTAACATACAAGGTGTGTCAGAAGACTTACAGAAACTTCTCCAGTCTCATCAGTCAGATGAAAACCCACAAGCAAGCTGAACAGAGTTTATAGAACATGCCAGGCCCTGTACAAAACAACTTAGTTTGCCACATATGCAATAAACATAGCAAGTCACTTGCAGGCTTCAAGAGCCATTTTTGTTCTGATAAGAACTAAATCCATGGATCTAACTTGTCAGTGATAGTCATACTTATTGCCATGAGTTGACTACCACCATGTATAACAGTGTCCATGAAAGTGAGTGTATGTAAGTCTGAATATGCAAGTAAGTATATGTGTGTGTGTGTGTGTATGTATGGATAAGAGAGAATGTGTAAGTGAGAATATGCAAGCATGTACAGAGAGAATGTATGTAAAGTTATGTAATTTTTTTAAAGAGGATTATTTATAACTGACATTATTTCTTCTTATTATAATCATTATTTTTAGGTGGTGCATGTGTTTGAATTGCTATCCCTGTTTTTTACTTTTATTAAACACTGAAATTAATAACTTCTTCTCAATTTAGGCCTGTTATTACTTTCACTGTTTAATAAAAATAAAATAAAAAACAGGGGTAACAACTTAAATGCATGTACTCACAAAAAATAACATTTATAGTAATAAGATACATAAGTAAGAATATACAAGCAAGTATATTTGTGCATGTCTAAGTGAGTCTATATGAAAATTGTTTAGGTAAGAATATGCAAGCAAATGTGTGTGTGCATGTTTAAGAATACAGATGTAGGCATGTCCCAATATAAGTCCCATTGTAAAAGATCAAAATATGAAGAGATGAAAATGGCGGCAAGTTAAAAAAGAGTTCATAATCAAGGTCTTAAAATGGATTTACATATAGTAGCAATTTGGGTTCATTCATTTTTACAATAGCATTCACATAAAATTAACAGTATTAGTCAATAACCACAAATTGCAAATATTTCCATTTTTTTTCTTTAACTTACCCATTTGTGCATTGTCCAATTATTTTTTTTTATCAGATTTAATATACAACAAAGTAAATAAAAAAAGGCTAATCTGAAAGAAATCTCATGGACCTTAATATAAATATTGTATTTTACATATTAACTTCTATAATATCTATCTCCTGAAAAGATTACATACTATCATAAGTACATGCGCACGCACACACACATATATATATATATATATATTTATATTATGTATACAAGCTTTATTCACCTTAGAAAGATCATATATCAGATTATGGTTCTACGTATCTTTAGAATTTCTGAAGCTATTTCCAAGAATATAAGAGTAACCATTCCAGGTTAAATTGTACAAGACAGAAAGATGCTATTTTTTCTATACTTGCACCTTGAATTCTGTTTTTTTTTTAATTTATATTATTTTCTTATTGATTAGTTACCATGATGATTCTTTAAGCATGTAATATATTGTTTTTTTAAAAAAAAAAAAAAAAGAAAAAGTAAATTAACTGAATACTGATGCACAACCACCTTACTCTGCAGTAATAGTGTCAATGAATATGGAAGACCACGAAGTTTCTTGTAGAACAATAATCTTCAAGAACAGCATGGTAAAACCTCCAAAGATGGTGATTCCTCCACAAGTGTACATCGGTACAGTGTAGCTGCCAGTTATGTCATGCAGCCACCCTGAAAAAAAAGAAAATAGATACTTGTAAAATCACTGACAGATCTTTTTCTATTTTCTGAAGAATATTTGTACTGAATATATGACACTCTCCTTATTCACGTTCTATTTTCTCTGACTAATTTCTTTTATGAGATAAAGATGAGAAATTGATACTCAAAGCATTGCAAGCATTTAACTTCAAACTAAGATGAAGGAACAGTTCAAAACCTATTTTCACATAATGTCTTTTATCTAATAAAGATTAGAAATTTACAATCAGAACAATACAAGCTTTAACTCTAAACTAAGATGAAGGTACAGCCCCAAAATTATTTTCACATAATGTTTAACTTCTCATTTGAAAATTAGAGAACACCAAATCAAGCCACCTTGATTCCACGTCCTTTAAGGAGTGTATTTATGCCATTTGTGCACTAATGTGACATGTGCTTCAATTTTGATGGTAACTAGGTGGAAAAGTAGTTTAGTAGTGATGGTAATATAACCTTTGTGTCTGCAATAAAAAAGTGTATTTTTTACTTGACATCACTATTATTTTAACTACCTTCACTCACTTGGCAATATTTGTTGTTTTAAAAAGTGATGGTTAGAATTTTAATAAAACCCAAACACATGAAAGTGAATTTCGACATTTTCTTTGTTCTTTGAGAATTTACAAAAAAATTAAATCATATGTTTATTCAAATTCTGTTCTATAATTCATTGATATTTTTATAAACTTATGAATAAAATTCTTGTTTTCATAGTTATTTATAAAATGGTAAATAGTTAATATTGGATTGTGCATGGTTTTCATATTTTGAGAATTTTTTTAAATAAAAATTTTTTTAAGATTTATTTCTTTATAAAATGATAAATAATGAACCTTTATAAAAGGTAAATAATAAATATTGCATTGTACTTGATTCACATATCTTTATAAATCCTGTAAATAAACATTGCCGAGTGAATGAAGGTAATACAAAATAATAGCAGTGTCAAGGGAAAAGCTATCCTTTTGACACACCATTTTTTTTTTGTGGGCATGAAGGTTAAAGATTGCCATAAAAAACACGTTGGATTAGTAAATTTTTATACCTTTTGTTGCATAAACTTCAGAAGTTTGTTGAGAGGATACAAAGAATACATTTTGGATTCACTTTCACTGAAAGATTTGTGTTGGCAGAATTTTATTTTGGTGCAGAACATTATAAATGAACTATAGTAACTTCAAATTTATTAAATATAACTATTGTTTTTGTTAAAATCACAGTATCTGAAAATTTATCAGAACTGCAGTGAAGAATCCAAGCATTAAAAATGAGATACTATGGTACAATTGTAAACATCTCCCATGTAGACCACATAATAAATAGCATAATGTCAAAAATCACCAGGCAAGAAACATGCCCATTGGAAGACCTTATAACTACAATCTAGAAGTTGAAATGGTATATCCAAATCATAAGATTCAACAATCTTTCTAATACAATCCTAAAAGGTTTTATTTTAGGTAAAAGAAGAAAAGGTAGACAGAGGAAAAAAATGGGCAACAATGTCATCAAGTGGACTGGAAGATCATGAATATATATGACGCTGATGAATATTTACTTTTGGTTTCTAAAATTTTCAACAAAAAACATAATAAACAAATATATTAAGTAAATTTTAGTGGGTTCTTAAGTTAATTGATTAATTTGTTTCTTTATGGCTTATCAATCCTTTCTAAGTTACTTAAAGCCGAAACATTTTGGATAGTAAGTATAATTTTTTTGCAAGTGAATATTGCATTAACAATTTTTTGAGGGTTCTTAAAAGGATGATCGATACATACTAAGTGTTACTAAGGATGATTGATAAATACCTAAGTGTTAAAAGTACAACTAGATAGTTATGCATTGAATTTTGCAATGTTTAACCTCAAATTTGTTTAATCAAGTTTTAGTGCATAATGTGAATGTTACACATTGATAAATTAAATGTTGTGCATTGATAAATTAAATGATTAGATGATAAAACAATATCCTAAAATTAAGTTGGATTCTGCAAAAACAGAAACAATTAGAGAAAGTTTTAAAAAAATAAAGTAAAGAAAATGAAAACCTTTAAGTCTATAGAAAATGTCTTACCAGCAAAAGGCGGTCCAATAAAACATCCAATCCCATTGGCTAACATCATATACCCGGCCACCGTCACCCAATCAGCTTTCAGCTTTTCTGTTGATTTGAGTGATATTAAGTCCAATGCAATCACATACATAATTCCTAAGATGCCTCCAAGCGTCATACCAAAGATAATAGCTAAGAATATAAATATTTTATAGCGGTTGACATAGACAAACAGAATAGCAGACAGTCCATTAACTAGATGGAACATGAAATAAATCATAACTTTGTCACAACATTCCACACTACTTAGAATCCCGCCAAATAAACTCCCAAAAGCAATGCCGATACCGATTGCAGCCACGATAGAACTTATAGTCTCTTTGTTGTATCCAATCTGATCTTGGAGATATTCAAGGCCTTGAAAGAAGAGTATAACAGTGCCTGCATTCCATAGCAGAATATCCAAAAAGTACACAGAGAATTTAATATTTCGAAAGATACTGCAGCTACTTGTCTGATCCATCACTGGTTCTGGATCTGGAAGAACTGGGGGTTTAATTTCTGTTGTCTCTGTTCCAGATAAGTCCTTTTTGACAGGCTCAATAGGCTCCTGACGCAGTAGCTCAATAGCCGGCTGTAACGGTTGTAGTAAAAAGGCAGGTATACACATGTTCATGAAGATCCCAGCAACAATAAAAAGAGATCCTTTCCAGGCAAAAACATCGATGATGTAGCAGTAAACAAAAGGAAAGACCAAAGCACCAAGTCCAATTCCTATGGAGATCATGCCCGTGGCCAGTGTACAATATTTCTTAAAGTACAAACCAACAAGTATTGTTGAGGGCAGATAAGACATACAGAGACCAAAACCTGAAAGAAAAAAAAAAAAGAAACAAAAACTATGTTATCAATTAAAACGTTTTTATATTAAATGCTTAGATGACAGATTACAATTATTATACAATAATTTACTTAAGTTATTAAAGCTTTAAAAATGGACATCTTAAAAGTATATATATATATATATATATATATATATATATATATATATATGTGAGTTTTCCAAACTGCTGTACATTTGTAATCACCATCAGACTCATTCAACTCTTTCCAAATCTTCTGCAATGTCCTTAGATTGACATCCAAGCACTCTGAAATGTTTATATTGGAGCTTTCAGCACAAATGCCAAGCAGTACAGAACACCGTTTCCAAATTTCTGGTGGAGTGAATTGTGTCATGGTGCTCTTTTTCTTGCAGATGGTGCCCAACTGACCCTACTGTACTGTACTGTGCAGTCATCAAAATCAAAAAATACAACACACATGTGCGAAATTAAAAATATAAAATGGCGACAATTTACTCATCATACCATTATAGTTAAGTATAATTCTAAAAATGAGGGAATGCATTGGTTTTTTTCTTTCATTCTTCAGAAGGAACCTTTTTTATCTAACACTTCTTCAAAAAGATTCACTGGTAAAAAAAAAAAATATACAAAACAATCTTAAATGGTAAAACTGAACTGAAAAGTGCAGGGAGAGGGTAAATAAGGAGACACGACTAAAATAAATTTATTACAAAACAATAAATTAATGTAAATAAGTTCCAAGTGACTACAAAATAGAAAGAATTTTGTACTTGCAAATTTTTCAGTTTCATCATTTATGATTTTGTTTTTGTATGTTTGGGTTTTTCCCAATGAATCTTTCTGAAGGATTATTGGACGAAAAAGGTTTGTAATAATAGATCATTCTGTTTTGAGGAAAAATCGAAGAAAAAAATATATCAGAGACACTGTTTGGTTTGCATGTGTGTGTATGTGTGTGTCTAGTTAGGGTTTTTATCTTAACCTTTGTGCAGTCAGCCTGCACCACTGAGAGTCAGAGGGTTCTAATTTATGACTCACCTCTTTAAGAATGTATTCTTTGTATTAGATAAATATAAATTAGATTCTTTAAGAATGGACTCAAAGAAAGATGGTGATGTAATGTTTTAGGTATGTGTTTATAGTTGGTAATAATGTTATTAAGTTTTCAATGTATTTTCTCCTTAAAGAATTGTTTTAATTAGGGTTGGCATTAGTAAAATCAAAGTTATGTCCAGTATCATTTTGATGCAAAATAAGAGAGTTCAATCAATTGTCCAAATGCAAGTCTCTCTTGCGTTCATAGATGTGAACTTTTAGATCACATGATGTCTCCCGCGCATAAACAATTTTTGCATTGTAAACAATTTATTTGATAAATCCCGACATTTGAATTGGTGTTGGGTTTATTTTTCTTCTGAATGATATCTCCAATTTTCTTGGCAGTGGTGGTAATGATCCTTGTATTAGGAATGACCAATTTGTTTATGAGTTTAATAGAAAGAGTGTTGGAGGGTAGGATTATGAATTTTGTGTAATTTTTTGTTAGAACTGTTATTTGTAGTGTCTGTTTCTTTGGCTTTGTGGATTTTGTAAGCTTGTTTTTTTCTGTTGAGGATAAAATGATGTGGGTACTGGAGAAGTTTGAAAGTTTCCTCAATATATCTCTTCTTCATTTTGGTATTTTAGACTACATATCCTAAGGGCTCTAAGATAGAATCCTAGGACTAGAACAGATCTTATTTTCTGGTTGTGGTGGGAATAGAAGTTGATTAGATTATTTTTGTTTGTGGGTTTACAATATACTTTAAAATCTAACTTCTCATTGTTGTGTATTAGTAACATGTCATGGAAAGGTAGAGAATTGTTTATTTTAAATTTGTGTGTGAATTCAATGGTAGCTTCAACCCTATTGAGTTTTATTATTATGTCTAATAGGTTTGTATCTTGCACATATAATAAGAGGCTATCATCTATCTGGTCATCCCATAAGTTCTCTCTGAATTTTGACAAGTGACCAAATGTTACATTTAATTACAGATTCAATCAACAATATATTTTCCCTGATTATCTATGACTTCCTTCCATCTATTAACAAGCTTACTGATTCCATTACTGTAAAATTCTTTTGGCTTTGATTCAAAGAACTCACAAATGTCAGTTGTTGTGTTACAAAAAGCTGCTTCTTCCAAATGATTCTGGAAGCTACAAAACAAATGGTTAATCTGAAGGAACAAAATCGGGAGAATAAGGTGGATGAGGAATTTTCTCCCAACCAAGTTCTTCGATCTTTTGTGATGTGATTCTTGCTGTGTGTGGTCCTGATGAAACATCACCCCTTTTCAATTCACTAGAGAAGGTCTTTTTTTCCTCAAAGTTTGGTTCAAACGATCTAATTGCTGACAGTATATTTGAGCATTAATTGTTGCATTAGGTGGTAAGAATTCAAAGTGGATTATTCCTTGGCGATCCCACCAGATTGAAAGAAGAACCTTTTGCCCATGAAGTTCCCTTCTCGGCTGTGGCTGGGGTCCTTCACTTTTACCAAGCCACTGTCTACGATACTTAACATTTCGATAAAAGATCCATTTTACGTCACCAGTCAAAGTTTATCCAAAAAAAGTGAAACAAGTTGGCGAGAATCGAGAGAAGAGCAGATGTCAACTAGGGATTTGAGGTTGTTTTCAGACAATTCATGAGGCACCCATTTTCCAAGTTTAGGAACTTTTCCAAGTTGCTGAAGATGACGATGAACAGTTGTATGGTTTGAACTGAGAACCACTGCCAATTCCTCAACTGATAAAGCAGGATTTTGTTCAAGGGCTGCTTCAAGAAGCTTTTCATCAAACTCAACTGGACGTCCGGTTCGATCTTCGTCTTCAAGGGTTATGAATTTTGCAAACCATCTTCTGCAAGTTCTTTCATTCACACATTCCTCTCCATAAACTGAGTGAATGTTTCTAGCTGCTTCGGCTGCTGAGTTTCCTTTCTTGAACTCATAAAGCATTATGTGCCTCAAATGATTCTTGGGTACTTCCATGTTAGCAGGGTTTTAATCAAACAAAATTTAATTTTATTGTTCTCTGAAATAAAATTTGATCAGTTTAAATGCATCTAAACATAAAAATAATGTTCAGCTCTATTAGACATTATAAAATACTGATATATATCTTAGGTAAGTAGAGCTGTTTGGTATGATGTGTCTAAATGAACCAGAATGGTGGTTTCTCAGCATGTTGAGGCATTTCATGATGGGTATGATGGTGTATAATGATTTCATGACTAGACTCACCATGACTATGTTTTCCATATTTATGTTTCGTATTCTCTAGAATAAATATTCTCTTGTATTTGGACCATCAATCTAACTCTCGTTTTGCATAAAAACAATGCTGGACAAAACTTTGTTTTCATTAATGCCGCCCTAATTAAGAAAGAACATAATTCTTTAAGGAGAAAATATATTGAAAACTTAACATTATTACCAACTATAAAAGCACACCTAAAACATTACATTACATCACCATCTTCCTTTGAATCCATTCTTAAAGAATCTAACTTATATCTAATACAAAGTATCTATTCTAAAAGAGGTGATTCATAAATTAGAACCCTGTGACTTTCAATGGGGTAAGCTGACCGCACAAAGGTTAAGATAAAAACCCTAACTAGACAGACACATGCACACAATTACAAATACAAAATTACCATTTGTTGCCCACTTAGACATACAAGAATCTTCACAAACCTACATACACATAGAATTATCCATGCTTTTAATATATGACATGTGTCTGACCAATGAGAACTGACCCAAAACATAATTGAAAATACCAGTGTTTTCTATCTTTTAGTCTGTTTTCTTTTAATCTCTGATGAAGCTTTAATAAAAGTGAAACATGTTAGATTGATATATGTTTGCTATTTGGGCTTTTATTTTATCATCCTGCCAGATTCTGATCCATATTTGATCTGCATTTGGTCTTTAATTCACACACACACACATATATATATATATATATATATATATATATATATATATATATATATATATATATGCATGTTTCATTAAAAACAACAGACAAGGTACTATGGTTAAGTTATATATAAAAAGAAAGCCTGGAGGAAAGGTAAGAAAAAATAATACTCACAGTAAAATGATAGGTTGTAAAAATATAACAACAAAAAGGGTTAACTGGTTATTGCTCCTCACTCTTCAGGCCCAATTGAGGACAAAAACATAAATATGGGCACAATGGCTAAAAAAAGGGGAGAAAATAGTTACTACCAAAGCAAAGAATCATCAGTATAATTCACAGATAGATTACATTTAGACCCAGTAGCCATTCTTTCTGCTTATAAAGAGAATGTTGCTTTGACTTAATATAAAGGGTCTTATGCATACTCAAATGAAAAAGGAAAAATACTACCAGAGAATCAGCAATTTAAATAACAGATTACATTTAGACCCAGCAATCATTCCTTTTGCTTATAAAAGGAAGGCTGCTTAGACTTAATATACAGTGTTTCAAACATTCTCAAATGGAGAAGGAAAAATACTACTAGAGAATAAGTAATATAAATCATAGACAGATTATATTTAGACTAAGTAGCCATTCCATTCTGCTTACAGAGGGAAGGTGCCTTTATTACTGTGAAGACATCCCTGGTGAAAGATGAGATATTAACTGAATTATTTATTAAGTGTTACTCATATTAATGTCTCCTATCTTGGTTGTTATAATCACAAGCTTTTGGCTATTGTTCTTCTTTAGGTATCTGTCATATTTGGTAATCTTCCAGGAATTTCAAACAAAACCAGTTATTCAGTCAATGGGCTAGATTGTTCATATTTGACTGTCTATGCTGAAAAATATCTTGTATTTTTTAATTCTTCTTAGTTAATTCAACAGCAGAATGAGAATAAAGGATTCACTTTTAAATTTCTGGAAGGCTACCAAATTACAGACACATGAACAAAACCAGAAGGTACAATAAAATATGACTGTAGCAAACAAAATGAGGACATGAGTCAAAGCAAATCAATGGATAATAAAAAAAAAAGAAGAGACAAAGATAAGAAGCAATCTATGTGGCTTGTTTAAACCCCTAACAATCCTGTTTGCATCTGGTATGGGTAACACATCCTTCACTTGCAAAATATTATTTTTCACACCTACATAGCTACAGGGATCATAATGTTTTCATTATTCTTTTAAAAGAATTTCTTCATTGAAACAAAGTGAAGAGCCTCACTAAACAAACTACAGCATATTGGCTTTATTATTACAAATTCCCTTGCTACACATGGAACCATGAATGATCCTATTAGAAATAAATAAGCTTCAAAGTCAACCTTTTAAAAAGGTTATAAGATAGAGGGTAGGGTAGAAATAATAGAGAATAACATGTCAATAAGAACATCACAAGAAGGAGACATTTAATATTCTATCTGTCCCATAATAGTTGTTACACTTACTGTATGAAATGTACATACAAATGTAACAAATATTATAGGACAGGATAAAATAAGATTACTAGAAGTCTTACCAGGATTTATTATTGGCAGCTACAATCTTAACAACATAAGATATACAAATGACACAGTGTTGATAGGAAACATAGAAAGGAAACTACAGGAACACCTACAGAAGGTAGTGAAGGAAAGTGAGAAGAAAGGATTAAATATCAACTGCAAGAAAACAGAAGGCATGGCTGTTAGCAAAAGGATGAACCCAAAGTGTTAATTACAAGTCTGAGATACCAAAATCAACTGAGTGCAAAAATTTAAATATCATTTAACAGCAGACGGAAAGATTGACACTGAAATCCGAAGGTGTACTGGAATAGCCAAGGAATCATTCCAAAATCTAAGCAGAGTACAAAGAAATAGAAAAATGTCGCTAGAAACAAGGAAAAGAGTACTAAACTGTTATGTGATATCTGTTCTCCTGTATGGCAGTGAGTGCTGGACAATCTCCTCAAAGATGAAGAAGAGACTTGACGGAACAGAAATGTGGTTCTACAGAAGGATGCTGAGGATACCATGGAGTAAAAAGTTTTAGAGAAAAGTGGAAACAAAAATGAAACCTTATACTTACTTAACATCAGGAAGAGGCAGTTGAGGTTTCTGGGGCACATAATGAGTAAGAAAGGTTTGGAAAATCTGATACTCATTGGATCGATAGAGAGCAAGAGAAAAACATTGTATAACATATTTAGTGAGCTTGAGGAAAATGGATGGAAGAACAGGGTTTAGGAGAAATAACAAAGAAAAAGTTTGAGTAATAGCTACCAGGAACGAGAAGTTGTGGAGAGACATGAACGCTGATGTCCTGAAGGGACACAGCACATAAAGAAGAATTCTGTCATACAATAGGTGTTAGATTTACTGTATGAAATGTGCATACACATGTAACAAATATTATAAGACAGGGAAAAATAAGAGTACTAACACTGTTCCAAAATAGTTGTTACATTTTGCATATGTATATGTAAGGGGCATAAGTAGTATAAAAAGACAACAGTGAAAAAATACTATTTAGCCATCATATAAGTCTGCTTATTCCTCCATTAGTAAGTTAGCTAAAACATGTGTCATACCCTGCTATTACCTCAGATAAATAATAGATAATTCTGTTTTGAGGAAAAATGGAAGAAAAATATATCAGAGACACTGTTCGGTTTTAGGGAAAAGAAAGGGAAGATAGAGAAGGCAATAATGATCTCATACATTTAATGTCTGCTTAAGTGAAATGGAAAACCTCATCAATTTTGAATCTTTTCATTTGTTTATTTGCACTGTTTACATTCTGACTATTGTCATCTGGACATCATCAGGTGTATATCAATCCAGGTAACCTACAGGGAATTCCAAAATGAACCTTTTATTTAATCTACAGGGGTAGATTGTCCTCATTTCAGGGCCCATGTCTAGGGATATCTCATTTAATTTTTATTTACTACTGCTCAGTTATTGCTTAACCTGTTTCCACTGAGGCCAAGTATATACTTCTCTGTCTAGGGATTGAACTCACAATTACTATGTCACTAGATTCACAAACCACTGCTTTAATCCACTCAAACAAAAACCAAAAAAACAACTACCGTATTTGATAGCATATAAAGCACAGTTTTTTTTTTTACTAGAAATATCTTTTAAAATTTCCCTGTGTATTATATGCCATATGTAGATTTAAAATTTGCGATAGTTGGACAAAATTAGCTATCTGACAACTATTAGCTTAGACTTAAACATGAAGGAGCAATGGAACACGTGGATGTCACTGCCTGATCATGACCTTACACTTACAGAAAGAATAAAAAGACCCAGCATTGCACAAATCTATGAATGGGTGAAGCAAGCATGGGATAATATTAGACCAGAAACTGTTGGGAAATCTTTTTAAAAAGCGTGGCATTAGCAATGCTCTTAAATGAACGGAAGATGACGCATTATTTAACGACAATGATAATAGTATTGAAAATGAGTATCAGAATTTTGATAACAAAGATGACAAATTTTACGGATTTGAAGATGAATAATATTTTAATAGTAACCATACTGTTTTGCTCAATTGAAATAATTGCTTGATTTTTATTTTATTTTCCTTACCTTTGGATATAAAATTTTTTTAGAGACTGGTGTTCTTTTTCTTCCTATTATTTTTTGTTTAATTGTAATCATGGCTTGTTTAACCAATATAATACCTCATAAATATAGCCTAGGCTGTACCATTTACTAATAATTTTACTAATTTTACTAATTGTTAATTTTTTCCTGTTGAAATTGGGGTGTGTCTTATACACCTGTCAAATACAGTAATTAACTATGGTATAAAGATGTTTTGTATGATGCAATATTTTTGACTTCTCATTACTTTTGTACTTGTCACAGCTTTTATTAAACTAAATGTTTTTCCATAGCCACAACTGTAATAGAATTAAGTAGAGAAGAATATTTTGCTCAAAGAATAAGTTTTTTAAGATCCTGAAAGTGAATCCAAATGTTATTCCATCCAGCATATACATAGCTCTAAACTCATAAGTAACTAATTTAAAAGTGTAAATAATATTCCTTAATTATTTTTTTTATCCTTGCAGTCAGGCTTCTTATATAAAACATCTGTTGATTAAAGAAAAACTTTGTTTAAATTGACCTCAAAGGTAACCTCAAAGCCAATAAGTGCAGAACCAAATCTCAAAGGAGGTTGGTGGATGCATTAACATAAACAGGAAGTGAACCCACCTGAACTTAGAATACACACACAAAAAAAAACAATAACAAGAAGTTATATAAACTCTTGACCTATGAGAGAGAGAGAGAGAGAGAGAGAGAGAGAGAGAGAGAGAGTGTGTTCCTCACATCCTTCCAAGAAGATTGAACATTTGAAGAAAGAGCCCCAATACCCTTGTGCAGTTTGAATAAATGAACAGAGGAAGAAGTATTACTTAACTAAATGCTTTTTGAAAAAAACCAAATGAATGAGGAGAGTGGTTTTATGAACAAGGACCAAAACATTCTAAGCCTGTATTGACAGCCCTGTCCAGGGATTGAACTCACATTTATTATATCACAAATTCACAAACCAACACTTTAATTCACTAGGCTACCCAAGATCAATAGGATGACCTTCAACCTAAACATGGAGCTTTATACATATTCTCCTATACTCCCTTAGCTGATACTGCTGCTGTCAGGCTTGACTGCATTCACCGCTGCTTCTTGTTTCTTACTGTTGTTGCTGCTACTGGATGCAATGTTAGAAAAATGAAAAATAAATTGGTGAGCCAAGTTCCAATTCCAGCCAATGTATTTTGCACTCACTTTACTCACTTGAGAAAAACAGGAACATATCTCCTCTTTTAGCTGAATCTGGATCATGTCATGAAATTTATTGGCTATCTGTTTTTTTCTTTTAAGAAATCATGCCAATAATGATGTTTTAGGCAATTTTTTCCATTTAATTCATTTTTAAGAATCTGCCTGGTGATAAGGGGATGGATCAGAAGTTTTACACATTTTATATGAAAATGCAAGAGTTCATGGTTAAAGACATTTAACCATATACTATTGTTTAGGCCATAATGCTTCAAATGTTCTCAAAGTATGTCATCATTTATTTATTAATCCAGTTAATGGATATCTATTCACACTGTCTGCTTTTCTTGCATTTGCAATGTTTGTGATGTTGACTGATGCGTGCTCAATGTTATTGAATATTTTTGTTGCTGCTATTATATAAAGAAAATATATGTCAAATATTTTAGTTGGTGTTATTGATAATCATTAACCTGGACATTTTGTGGGGATGCCACACAAATATTTTAAGGGACTTTTAATTTTTTCCCACAATAATACTTTAGTAGCCATGCTCCATATATGAATAAAATCTGATCCAAACAGGACTAATAAGAATTTCTGTTATGGTGATTTTCTAAGCATAGCTTAGATGTGGCACAAGGCTGAAAGTATGGTTGTTATGACTAATGTTCTGGTTAGTACTACCTTTTCTAAAATCTTTAAAAAACATGCCACATTTTAGCAAATATTTTTCAGCAAAATAGCATTTTTGCATGAGTTCAACTCTGTTTTTGAGCTAATCTACTGTCATATTTGACTGAACTGCAATGACATTCAAAGTTTTTGACCATAAGAAATGTTATGCCTTTTCTTGATTTGAGTGATATTTTATTCAGAGTCATGTTAATAATTATTACAACAGTGATATAATAACAGAAAAAGAAAAAAATATCTTCAAAACTGGACTTGTTCTTGGTTCTTAATCATATTTTTTCCTGGAAGATCCTCAAAAATGCATAAATCAGGAAAAAAATCCCTGACAACATATTCGAGGGATTAATATCTTTCAGAAAAAATAGTAGCCATGATATTCTGATGATGACTCCAAAAAAATGTTCATACTTCTAATAGTAGGTAAACTAGTCTGGCTTATGGCCATATCACATTGAAACATCAGGTCTTGTATGATCCCCAAGGTTAAGAAATGTTAAGCCTGTAGGTCAGTACCTAAATGGGTGACTGCTTGGAAATACCAGGTACTATATGCTTGGATGTGTGGGTGGTGTAATGGACAATGATTTAGAATTAGAAATCAGAGAGCTGAATTCCAATTCCAATTCCAATTGAGTTAATTATATTCACTTACAAGCAAATACCCTTGGGAAAGGTATGAATCATATACAGAGAGCTGCCCTATACTTGCTGCATGGGCATTTATATAATCTATATCTTAGGTATGCTAATTTGGAAGTGATTTATATATCAGTACAAAAACATATACATAGACATCCGTGAAGCACCACACAGCTTAAGTATTTAATCAAGCAGATTTTGAACTGCAAATTGAGTCTAAGAAAGTAGATTCTAAATGGGAGACATATACCAATTATTGAAAAGCAAGAACAAAATGCCACAAGCAATCTACTATTAAAAAAAGAATTATCTTCAGAGGCAATTTCTATCATGAAGTTCACTATAATGGATCAGAATTAAAAGTTGTAAATTTTAAAATTTATCTAAATGAGTACTCCATCTCAAAGACAGAAGATGCCAGTTGGTTAAGGAATTAATGATAGCTATTAGTAGTACTACACTGACAGATGGCAATTAAACTAAAATGACAGATACCAAAGCATTACTACAGTATATTTATCCTTTGCAAGCAAATGTGACTATTTTTGTAGGTATGTCCTCAACTCACACATTTCAAAGCTGAAGTGAATTTTCACTGATCAATCTTTTCTTGGCATAAGGAACTATTAGCAAAAAAAAAAAAAAAAGAAAGAAAGAAATAAAAGATCCTGTTTGGTTCTAGTTTTCTATTTTCATCAATTTTTCTTTTTTCTATGAAAATTTATGACTTGAAAAATATTTTTTAGATGCTAATTTAAAGATTCTGTTGAGCTACAGTTTTTCTTATCAAGAAGGCCAGGAAAGAAGCAAATGGAATATAATGGTAGAGTGGATTTGATTGATTATAGATTTATATCACAGTCTTTCCAAAAGGAAAAATATATTCAAATAGGTGAAGTTTGATCTAAAATGGAATTACGAGAGAAAATGTTCTCAGCCTGTAGTGAATCTAGGTGGAAACTAATTGGTAAATAAAGACTACTTCTAGTAATAGAGTTTATTAGTATACTGGTCTTGTAAATAAAAAGGATATTGCTTAAACAAATACTATAAAAATGTGTCCTTGTGCCAAGGTTAACTTTCTACTGCACATACTATTCTCTCTTGGTTAACTCTCCCAAGCTCAGCATAATTTTCCTTCTTGGATACAAGGTTAATTATACTGAGCTCAGGATACAATTCCCTCTTTGATACAGGTTTAACTGTACCAATCTCAGGATACAATTTGTTATTTTTCAATTATGAAAAATGTTGTGGTTTGAAGAATTTCTAATAAATGCTAATCTACAAAAATGATTTCCAAAAACATTTTGCCTATTTTTCACAAGTGGACCACTGTGTCTAAGTAGTGCCAATTTCAGTAATTACTATTGTTCAACTGTAATATAACCCAAGGTATCCCATGAGAAGGCACAAATTTTACCTACTGCATCACTTGATTTACAGCTGCTTCCATATATAGACAAAATATGCTAATAGGTCACTTTCTCCATTCGATATAAGAGTATGCATTGCAATAATGCAAATAAGAAAGAGTTATAATCCATCATCGCCAACAGTGGATTTACCATTAAGTAAGATAAACTTGAGCTTGTAACACCAAAAGAGAAAGGAACCCCACAGATTTTGTCTTTTGAAGTTATGCTTTTTAGAAACCAGATTATATTTCTGATACAACAAAAATGTATTTTCTATATAAACAAACACTAAATTGTCTACATACATCAGTTTGCTGTATTGCCCACATGAATACTCTACTGCTAATAAAATTGTAGCTTCTTTTATGAGCCACATCCCTTCAGGATGTGGCTGACCATGGCTCTTCACGATTTCCTATCCTTTGTAGATCTTAATAAAGTTTGTCTTTTCACCATTCCTCCCAGTCCTCTTCCTTCCATCCATTTGCACAAGCTTGTTAGGTAGGTTACCATACATACTCTAGCTGCTACATTTTTCTTGAGTAGCCCTTCTCAATCTAGGCTGGTTGATATTAATTTCATTGTTTAAGAAAATAAAAAAAAAAACAGGAAGGTCAACTCAAACCCACTAAAAATAATGTTTACCATAATAAGAAATGACGTTGGATTAAAAAAAATTAATTTAAAAATTAATGCGGCATATTTAAAAACAATCACAATCACTTCTGTCTTTCATATTCTTTACAAGTTTTGGTGCACATACAAGAAAATAAAAACTGAATGCTCAATTGTGCAGGTGTCTTGCTCTCTTTCTCTGATGTCTACCTTTACGAGTCTAGTGTAAACTGGTTTATTAATTCATTGTGATTTTTCTCCTGTAAAACTATAAAAATGCATATTTGTCATCATCCTACAAATATTTCCACAATGTTTTCTAATAAAATCACCTTTCCAGTAAACAGTTCATTTTAGCGAAAATGCAGTTTGTATTCACTTGTGAGAGAAGCAATTTCATTGTCTTTCTTGTCGGTTCTTTGATGTTCAACTTGGCAACAATAAATCTCTTCTTTTCTCTTCTTCTTCTCAATCACTTGTGCTCTTACCATTTGTCCACCATAGAAAACCACGCTTGACTATGCGACAATCTGATCATAGGATCTAAAACAATTCCCCCTTTCCCCATCGGTAATGGGGTTTTTATATTCTTTTCGACAGTCGAAAATTTGCATGCTACCAGCAAAATCTTGTATTTGCCAGAATGTAATATTCTTAAATATTCGCTTTATGAGTGGCCATCTTTTTTTTTCTTGATTTCTTTATATTCAATGCCGATGTAAAGTCTTTGCAGTAAGTCATTTTTTTCCTTTATTTGCTTTTTTTTCCTTTTTCCCCTCAGTTCTCCAACCACAGAAAGTGCTGAACTGCTTTGTAATATCAGTCCTTCTATATAGCAGTGAATGCTAGACAATCTCCTTGCAGATAAAGGAAACATGAAACAACAGAAATGTGGTTCAACCACTTTGTTCTGATGGTTCAGTGTAAAATCAATTATAATTTTATATGGTTTTAAAGAATACATAATTACCTCTTCCTAGATGTAGAATTCTCAGTTTTCTAAAGTATGTGCCATCTTCAAATATCAGTCTGATTTTGTATGATTACTCCAATGCTAATTATTTTAAAAAATGGGTGTTTTTATAGCTTTGATGACTCAATATACTACAATATGAAAGAAGGCCACATTTTGTGTAGGGTCCCTTCACATACATATTTAGGAACCTTTCCCTTTTTGAA